ACCGAAATTTATGTGGGCCGAGCCGCGGGTTAAAGCTAGTAACTATATAAATACATATACAGTAACAATAAAAGTGCTACGAAAGAATCTTAATATGTTATAAACCGGTTAGAATCACTGGATATAAAAAGCATTATTAATATTTATACCATGATAACGAGATGTTAAGGAGTGCAGCTTTCAACAAAACTCACTACAATTAAATACGACCCATAAAAACGAAAAATTATTTCGATTTCGCGGCGAAGTTCGCGGTCCAGTTGCCAAATGCGCTCCAGTTTTGGCCACAGTTGGAACTCTGACAATCGGCTCTCATAACACGCCAGCACCAAATGACCGATGAAATTGAATTGCATAGAGATTCGTTTATTTGTTGAGCTTTGTATCTGCACAAGGATCATGTTCACCTGCACGATGAAGAAGTCAGGCGAATAACTCGTGTCAAGCAATTTGTTAGGTTCTTTAACATTAGTGTTCTATATATTATTATTATTATCTATATATTGTTTTCAAATTCAATATTTAAATACCCAGGGATTATAGTTACTATACTACCTTGTTTTTTATAAACGAGAATCTTTTGGGACCCCAAAATAGTTGACAAAACAAAATTTACGAAAACACCTTCACACACACACCACAAGCTTCAGCACACAGAAGCAATTACGAAAAAATTGCTTTTTTACAATATATTTTATTACGGTCAAAAGGACCAGAACTTAAGGTTTAGTAATATTTTTATTAGCAAATTACTATATAATCTACTACTACTAATCTACTAATATTCTTAAAAATTAATTTATACTTAGAAGTTAAATCTAGCCAGTGTGGGTGGTTTGAAGCAATCTTTTCATCTAAAACTTCCATTGCCGATTTCATTATACATTTATGCACCCCTCCTCTTTCTAGGACCTCTCAGGCCTCTCCTTAGGAAGGCGGCTTTGGCCACTTATACCACGCTGGCCAGACGGGTTGGTATAGGGTTTGTTTCAAGTTTTCCTTTTCTTTGCAGTGCTGTTGTAATGCGTAGTTTGCTCCCTTAGTCGGCTCTCACGACACCCACGGGATGAATAGGGGCGGTGACACCGTGTATTCTTAATCCGTCACCACACGGACAATCCAAATAAAACTTTTAATGTTACACCTATTCAATACGAAAATTGAGAGTAAAATATTCAATTTAATTTTTATGTTTATTGAGTCGTAATAATTCAAGCTAAAAATAGAAACAGCTTAGAGTAAGTTCGGTCGCGTGTTGTTAGCAATAAATACAAATATTTAGAGTACTCCGTTTTTAATGTGGTTATAATTTTATTAATAATAAATATTGTGGTGCATTCTCTTACATTTGCGTGAAACTATTTGCGACAGAAATTATAAATAGCTTTTATAAGTAAAAATTCACAGTCAAAAACGCCATGTGTAAATGTGGCGGATGAAAAAGAAAACGATAGATCTATGGAGTGTAAACAGTACCATCTTGTATTTATCCTGTGGTAGTAAAACAGTAAATAATAATTCAAAATCAAAAGAGAATGGCGTTAGTATTAACAAAAGTTATGACATGAAATTAACCGTTATAGAAGTGAAGTGAGCTTAAGATACAAGTACATATTTAGTTACTTTTGAATTAGCGAATTTTAAAAGACATTTCGTTTTTTGAATGCGAAACCAAAATGTATCAAAATATTTGTGGAGGCACGGGTGTCATGTCCATGAAAGGGAGGGCCCTCCGACCAGGCGAGGTGATCATGCCTGGCGGGACGCGGGCCAACGGTTGATGTTGGAAAGTTGTATATATGCCAATCGTCGAGAAAATTCGTCATATCGCGATACAGGATTAGCAATTCTCATTCAGGAGTTACTCCTTAGTTCGGTATGTCTTCGTTAGATGGCGCTGTAGTATGTTTCTTTGTTTATATAAACTTTCCTTTTTTATTTGTATAACCTACATTAATAACTTTAGCACTTTCTTTACAATTTACAAGCTTCTCAGAGTCGCTATAGTTTCAAACGTGTCAATAGTCACTTTTCATGCACATCAACGGTTCTCATTACTTCTGCACTCCATATTTCATCTAATTATAATATTGGCTTGTTGTTACTATGACAATAGTGTTCTAGAATCCTAAGAGACAACTTCAAGGGAGAGTTTTTTAAGTCAGACCACCTTTTTCTGCTCTAAAACTTAATAAAGCCACACAAACTGCAGCAAAGTTTGGTTACTAAGACGATATTAATTTCTGTATTAACTAATATTATTAACGAGAAGGAAACTTTGTCTATGTGTCGTGTGTGTGTTTGTAACTACTCAACCGATCTTCATGGCATTTTTCATATGACATAAAGTAATTAACATCCAGAAAAGCACCACAGCCAAGTATTATAATATACCCATTGTATAGAAAAATATTTTACAAAAGATAGTATCTGTAGTACATAATTTTAAAATAAAACAGTATATTTTTACCAATTTCCTTGGTGTCACGTGTAACAAATTCACGAAGGACTGTCGGGTATAGTTGCAAGACAGTGAATCCATTTAACGCCTGACAAGATTAGCCCTCACACGACCGAGTCATCCCTCCCCCTCTCTCCCTATCTTACATCAACCCTGTTATAACTTTATTCATTTAAAAGTGTTAATAGCTTTGCGGCTAGGGATATTGAAAGAAAATGCTTTAATGTTATACTTCCTTGTAGGTAAGTTTACTTTTCTATCAATCGGCCACTGTACTTTTTTCCTATTAAATATCTTATGATTTTTTTGTTTTGTACCCCTAATAATGTGTAATGATTGGTTGAATAGTTTTTAAAGCGTATAAGACTGACAGTGTTATTTTTGCGTGTCTAATATTAAAATTATATTTGAGATAGTGCAAACTTTACTGAAGCCGAAATAAAGTAGTTTTAAGATCTTAAAATATATAATTAAAAACTAAATTTACGATTCCGTGTGTCAGAAATTGGCCGTGTGTCAGATGTCAAAATCCGTTTTGCCATTACTAATAATCAGATGGCGTAGTGGTTTGTGTAACGGACTGCTATTCCAAAGGTCGTGGGTTTGATTCCCGTTCAAGTCAAATATTTGTGTGCATGAACATTTAATTTTTGATTTGTTCTGGGTGTTTCTATGTATAATATGTAAGTATTCACAAAACAAAAAAAGTATATATGTATTTTTATCAGTTGTCTATTAGCCATAGTACAAGCTCTGCTTAGTTTGGGACTAGATTGCGTTGTGTGAATTTGGTAGAATATTATTATTATATTATATTATTATTAACATTCATACAGTGTAGTTGTCGAATCGCCGTCCAAGAATACTCCACCTGAAAATAGGGGATTTTAAATCACTTAATAATTAAATGGTCTAAAACTGTCATTAGGTTTATTTCGTTTTTGTTCTGTATTTAAATAATTATCGCAGTGAGACAATAAGAAGCAATCAGTCACTGTATACTTTTAAGTAATTACTAAAGGACTATTATCAAGTAGATAATAATCATAAGTTGAAAGCCATTCTTCGACAGATATAGGCAAGCTTGTCCGGAATGATACCACAGCATCACTGAAAACTAGTTTTAAGCAATTTTTCCGGTACTTTCCACCTAGTGATTGAGATTACCTGATGCCCAATTCTGGCTGCCAGCTAAAACCCGTAGGCAGGCACTCAAAAAGCTACCATAGCTGCTGGTTATCGCTTGCCCTTAGGTGAACTACCTGCTTGTTTAACTCTTATACAGTAAAAAAAAACGATATTACACTTACTTCCATAAAATGAGAAGGTGCCCCACGTTGGGCGCCAATAAAAATTTGTATTCAACTTTAATATATATATAGCTAAAACAATGAAACTCACGATATTAATGATTATGTACAAACACCATACAAGCAGTCCCTCACAATTTGAAGTCATACTGCAAACGTACCATTCGTCATCATTTTAGACTGTACCATTTAAGGTATAGATATGCTACTGACTAGACTCGATATACTTAATGTAAGTTAAGACACGATAACTTTAGCGCATGCGCATGCTATAATATTATATGCATATATAAATTGGGCCAAATATTGTAAGGCATGACTTGCATAAACTTAACTTGTCAGATTTCTGGGACGTTTCCAAGTAGCCGAAGCCAAGTGTTTTACATTAACTGCATAACAACTACGATAGATCTGGCCGGTATTTCGATAAAATATGCAGGTCACCTCACTGATTTTTCAATATTTTAATTTGTTATGATCAAAGTCTTGTATACTATTGAAGTCGTCACAATATTCACCACTCTGTTGGAATGCCTAAAAAAATCAATACATTTTAAAAAGAAACAGTTATAAATACTAAGTATAGGATATCTTGTGGTGACTTTTAAGGTAACATACAAGCATACCAAGCCACTTTGAAGTCGCTATTTATTAAGACTGTATTTTTTATCATGAGCTGTGTTATAAGAAAGTCTTTGCCAATTACTCTTTAGATCTGTTTACTGGGAACTTAAAACTGCTTTTTAAACATTAAAACAGGGAAAATCTTTGAAAAACAAAACCTTTGAGGCGGTAAATAATTTGGTGTTGCCATGTAAAATGGAGAAGGATCGCCGGATGCGAGAAGCTCAAAATCTATCTAAGTGGCGTACAATGGGAGAGACCTATGTCCAACAGTGGACTGCGATAGGCTGATGATGATGATGTAAAAAGGTGGATGGTCGGATTTTGAATGCACCGGCGGGGAGCATCCAATGAGGTCGTCGCATTGCGCGTGCGGGCGCCCCATTGGTCGTTGGGACCAGCTCAGGTCATTCAACTTTGAATCTGCAAAATGCTGCGGCAGTTGCCAAGAAAAAACATTTTATTGTATAATAATTGCAACGCGGCTATGTTGTTCTAAGTCGATATGAAGTAAAAAACACTAAATGTTTCGGAAAACTTTTTTCTGTCTCGATTTTTAAATATTGAGGCATTATTTGGTTAAGGAGAATATTTGACACGACAATATGATACCGCTTAGTAAGGAGGAAGGCTCATCCACAGTAACGAAAAATTATTACTCGTCAGTAGGGTTGTCAGACACCGAAGTACCATTTATGGGCGTCAGAAGGCTGTGAGTTTGTTGGCTAACTTAGCAGTGAAACAAAAACATAGTTTTAAAGCTCTACCCTCTTCCGTATATACATACACTCACGCCTGTATCCCAAAGGGCGAAAACATAGATGTATTAAAGATCCACAGCTGTCCAACTGAATCGGACAGTTAAGGAATTGAAAATGGGAAAATTACAAACACATTATGTTGAACGAATGTTCCCTCTTTTCCTTTCCTATAACTAAGAAAGGAACAGTGAAGCAAAAGGAATATCGTCTATCTGGATCGATTTTTAAGTGTAAGCAGTAGAAAGAGCAAGTCAGGGACGAACTGGTGACAGCCGAAAGGCAGTAAGTCGGTTGGTTCCGTTAAATTTGAAGAAAATATTGCATCTGCAATATGAATAATACATATTATAATTTAAAGTAATTTAAAATAATGAATTTTATAATTTTTTAAAGTTCATTTTTAAAACTCTATGAAATGTAGGTATTTGCCATCCCGTATAAATCCATATCCATACTTAATATTAGAAATAAAAAAGTGAGTGTGTTTGTTTGTTTGTCACGCTTTTATGCTTAAGCCACTCAATTGATTTTTAAAGTTCTTTAACCAATAGAAAGCTACATTATCAGTGAGTAACATAGGTTAAAAAAATATCAAATCAATGTGTAAAGCTGTCGATCTCCCAAGAACAAATCAATAATTACTATTATTATAAATGGGAAGTGTGTCTGTAAGTCTGTCTATCTGTCCGTTACCTCTTCACGCTTAAACCGCTGAATCGATTCAGATGAAATTCGGTATAGAGATAGTTTGCGTCCTAAAAAAGGACATATCATAATTTTTATCCCGGAAATCGTTTTTTAATGGGGTGAAAAATTTTGTATGGGGAATCAGTAACCGCTGATTTTGTCTGGCCAGCGTGGTATAGTAGGCCAAAACCTCCTTTCTAAGGAGAGGCCTATGTCCAGCAGTGGACTATTAAAGGCTGTTGATGTAAATCAGTAACCGCTGAACCGATTTAGATGTAATTTGATATTGAGATAGTTTGATTCTTAAGGAAAGAGATAGGCACTTTTTACAGCGATAACCGACACCAACAGCCGCGGGTAAAAGCTAGTAACTATATAAAAACATATACGGTAACAATAAAAGTGCTACGAAAGAATCTTAATATGTTACAAACCGGTTAAAATCACTGGATATAAAAAGCATTATTAATATTTACACCATCATAACGAGATGTTAAGGAGTGCAGCTTTCAACAAAACTCACTACAATTAAATACAATAAAACAATAAATTATTTCGATTTCGCGGCGAAATTTCGCGGTCCAGTTGCCAAATGCGCTCCAGTTTTGGATATAGGCTAGCTAGTATACTATAAACAAATGTTAGTGTTTATAATTATACTAGCTTTTGCCCATGGCTCCGCCCGCGAGTATATCGGTTCTCGCGGTAAAAAGTAGCCTATGTTACTCGCTGATAGCTTTCCATTGGTGAAACACTTTTAAAATCGGCTTAGTGATTTAGCCGTAAAAGTATAACAAACAAACTAACTCACTTTTACATTTATAATAAAAGTATGGAAGTGTGGATGGTACAAAAGTCGTGGTATAAAAATGACAGTTCAAGTTATACTGGTCATTGAAATAAATTCAAAACTATGGAAATTCCACCGCTTGGCAACCTCTAGTTAAAATAGATACAGAATTTTTATAATTATTCTTATGTAATGGCAATACTATCAGTTCAGTTTTCAAAGTACAGAGTTTGCAGCACAGGATGGGCGGCTTCGTCTGCAAGTAGGTCGCGCGGGCGTTGACCCGTCCCTGACCGATGCACTAACAATATCTTGAATTACTGCATTAAAACTACTCCTATCTCTTCCATGATTGCTGTGGCGACTCCCACATACAAGGAAACAGCAACATACTGCAGCGACATCTAAGGAAAACACACCGAACTAAGGAGTAACTCCTGAATGAGAATTGCTAATCCTGTACCGCGATATGAAGAATCCTCCGATTAGCATACTGCTGCGGCCCGCCAGGCATGATCACCTCGCCTGGTCAGAGGATCCTCCCTTTTTTGTCGGAGGGACATGACACCCGTTCCTCCACAACTGCCTTCTTCAGTATTTATAGCATTCTACACGCTCTCCTAAACTATCTAGTGTGACATTTACAATATATAAAAGTATTTTAGACTAAATATTTGTATTTCGTACTTATTGTCCGTGTGGTGACGAATTAAGAATGCGTGTCACCACCCCCATTCATCCCTTGGGTGTCGTAAGAGCCGACTAAGGGAGTAAAATACGCAGGACAACAGCACTGCAAAGAGAAGGAAAACTTGAAACAAACCCTATACCAACGCGTCTGGCCAGCGTGGTATAGCAGGCTATAACTTCCTTTCTATGGAGAGGCATATATCCAGCAGTAGACTATTAAAGGCTGTTGATGAAAATGAAAGGAAGGAGGACTCAAAGAGCGTCAAGGCACTTGTGAATCTAGAGTTGCAGGTGTCTATGGACAGTGATAGTCACTTACCATTCGGTGACTGACCCATCTGCTCGTTTGCCCAATCTTCTATCTCTATATAAATAAAAATGAATTGCCGAAATGTATGAACGCGCATAACTTCCGAACGACTGCACCAAATTTGATTTTTTTGTGTTGTCGTTGATGTCAGGACAAGGTTTTTTTAATCTTTTAATATGAAAAGTGAGTGAATAAGACAGAAAATAATGTAAGAGATCTATAATACTATTATTATAAAGAGATAAACTCTGTTCGTTTGAAGTTTCGAATTAAAAAAATCTTTTAGTTTTGGATTGCTCTTTTATCGAGGAAGAATATAGGCTGTATAACATCACGCTACTATCAAAAGGAGCCGAGTATAAATGAAAAAAAATGGCGAAAACGGGCCATTTTTTTTTTTTTGAGAGAATTAATTGCTCGGGTCAGCTAGAATGAAATAAAAATAATACCTTCATATTACTACCACCATTAGATGGTCATGACACTCTTATTTAAAACTCTAGTGGAATAAAATTAAAATGCCTTCCATATGGTACACCAATATGGATACTGCTATATATGTAATATATGGATTCTACAAAAAGAGACTTTCAGATTCCTACATTAATTTAATCATACTAAAAGAGTTGGTTAGTATTTCATTTTGTACGTAAAAGCAGTAACAAAAATTATTTCGAGAAAATCTCAAATATCAAATTAGGCTCAGCATAGGTACTCAAAAAAAATGAACGTAACTTATTTACAAGAATTTTAAAACACAAAAATGCCTAACAAATCGAATCAGATGGCGTGCGTGCAACAAAAGTACTAAGAGACGATGAGAAAAGAAAAGCTAAATCAATCAGATTCAACATCGAATACTCGCTCGCGATGCAAATCAAATATGAGGAAAGAGACTTACGCTTCGATCGATATCACTCATTATAACCAGCATAGAAACCGTGGATAAACGCTGGCATTGTTTAGTACAGGCGATCGATTACTCAGTTGTCGCATAAACGATTCATTACTGTAAAATGTCAAAGTAACATTCTCACTAAGGCAGACTTCTATACGACAACCAAGTGACGACCTGTCTCAGCCAGCGATAGAGCCACATCCGAGGTCTCGGGTTTAATTCCCGTTAATGCATAATTTGATTCCATTCATGTACTTAAAAGCTTGACCACAACAGGGTAGTTTTGTTTTAAATAATAAGGTAATTATTATAAGATACGATATCATAATTAATAATAATTAGTTCGCATTAGTTCGATCAATTGAATTTTAATCTTGGTCATAGGTAGACTGCTTCCAGTTGATTGCAACATCCATATTGGTGCGATTAAATGCCGTTTTTTAGTAAATCTAATGTGTATGAAAGTCGTGGAAGTTTAAAACAGTTTTTTTTTTTACTATTTTCGTAACAGTTACAATTGCACAAGGGTTTTATATCCAATCTAGTATTGTGTGACTACCGTATATGTGGCCTAACAGCTGTTGCAGAAATAAATACCTGACTTTAAAAGGCGGTTTCGTTGAGTGTGGATGGAATAGGTCAAACATTTTTTTTTACCACAACTTTCGATTACAAAACAGTATCTAAATGTTCTTCTGAAATTACTGTACACTTCTGTATTTTTACTGTGAGCCCTTTTGGCACGATCAGATCAATAGGAAGTATCCTATATCTGAATAATCTGATACCAATTTATCGGAATCGAAATGTTAATATTTGTTAAAATGGCCTTATTTTTTATACTTAACACTTACTTAACACCTAATAACTGTACAGCTTTCTGAAAAAAAAAGAGAGAGATAACAAGACAACCATAGTGATCCCTCAAAATTGCTATTTTCCTTTTGAGAAACAGAGCCCTAAAAATACGATTCTTATGTCATTTTTAACGTAACTACCATTATATAAGTAACTAACCATTGTACATTTCATTGCCGTGATAAAGGATAGAATACCTCACAACATATTAAAATAGATATCCTACCGGTGCATTCAGGCAAGTGGCCGGGCAAGGGGTGAAGGTTCCTGTGCGACCTGGATTCGCCCCAGATGCGTCGCTAGGCAACGGCCACGCGCCCCCGCCCGGTTACTCTATTAACTGATTATGGTACGAACTGTGTCAAATTAGTTCTATAGAAGTGAAATAAATTTAGTTTTCATGTAACAATTAATAACAACATTCTGTTATAATACAGACACATGGACTTGAGAATTAGTAGAATTTAAATATCATTAACAGCAAACTTATAAATAGACTACTTCGGTGCTGTTGTAGCGTATGCGACTGCTGTGCTGAGGTGTCGGGTTCGATTCCCAGGTCTGACTAAATGTTTGCATGATCTGCAAATATTTTTGCCGGAATTCGGGTGATTCCTTTGTATAATATGAACGTATTTACAGAAAAAGGATATAGGTATTCTATCAATCAATCTAGCTTTCATAGTACAAGCTCTGTTTAGTTTGAAACTTGATGACGCTGTGTGTCAGATGTCTGAAATATTATTATTTTCTTTATTACATTTGATAATACATATTGATTGCATTTTTAAATGTATTTCAAAACAAATTAAATGTATTACATTTAAAAATAAAAATAATAGTAGACCACCGACATCGGGTACAGGGGTCAAGACACCGGTGGTTAGGACTCCAAAGACCTGCTCACTGTACGGGCCGTGTCAAGGAGAACTGCCTTCTGCATCAGACCCTTGATCCAGCCGTCTGACATGAGCCTCTTAAGGTGTTGGTCGAGACCACAATCCACATATCGACAATCTCGTTAGATGAATCCAAATATTTTATTTGATTTTCTTTTTCAACTTTCACGAGATTCTCGTCGTGAGGAACGGCGACATCAACAAACATGCACGCTCTAATCGATGAATCACCAAAATATCAGGCTCATTGGCAACAACAGTCCTGTCTGTGATAATAAATCGATCCCAATACAACGTGACCCGACTATTTGTGAGAACTGAGTCGGGCACCTCTAGATTCACAAGTTGGTATTTAAGGGCAAGCTGTTGGTGTATGATCCTGGCTACTTGGTTGTGCCTGTGCAATATTCACCGTTATCGAGACGAGAACAACCAGAAATAGTATGCCTGATTGATTCCCGGTGGCATGCCTGACAGGTGTCAACCGTACCATCTCTCAGGATATATTTCCAATAGTTATTCGTCATGATAACTTCGTCCAGAATTGCACAAACAAAACCTTCAGTTTCTCTGAAGAAATCACCATACCGTAGCCAAGTCGTAGATGCTTTGGCGCACATGCGCAGCCTTGTCTGGAATGCAGCACTTTACAGACAGCACTTTTAAACGGGTAATTAAAAAACACAAACGCATATATTTTGCGACTTGTCTATGGTGACCTTATAACAGGGTTGCCAGCCCGTATTACTTTTGGGACCAGCATAAGCACTTATCAGCGTTCAAAACCATAAATCGTAACAGATGTGACGGGGCGGCGTGCCTTCCGTGTTTCCTAAATTGAACTTCCCCGCTTTTTGCTAAAACAAAAACCTATACAAGCTCTCCGAGGCGCTTTTCTCTTTTCCAGTGGCAATTTCGTGTTTTCGATATTGTATTTAAATTGCTATCGAGTACAGACGTTTAAGGTTTTATTTTTAGACTGTTGTTTATTGCCGTTATACATTTTCTTGGAAATTTCCATCCTTGAGTTCATCGTTCATGGAAAATGCATTGAGTTTTTTATTTTTTAGCGTTCGATTTAAACTGCCTTTCGACTTTTATAGGTACTAGTTTTAATATATATCACAATACTATAATACATATAGGTATAGGTTAAATGTTTATTTATTTATTAATTATAGACACGTTAACAGTATACATTAACAACATTTAACTAATTATTGAACAAAAGAATATAAATTCCGACTGCGTGAAGATGTATGCTTAAAATGTACAAACCGACGATTTTAATTTCCATATTCTCAGTTTCACTCTCAAATTAAAATGAATCTAATAATACGCTTAGGCGTATACATACGTACATACATACTTTTGAAAAACATATATGTCTAATGTGTTTTAGTCATATTTAAGCATTAGCTTGCGGGTTCTGCAGATATCGCTACTGAATAACGCTTTCAATATTTGAAAACATTTACACCATACACAAAACTTAAACCCATTTTTACTACCACTACCATCGGCTTTGGTCGTTAGTAAACAAAGAATCAAATAAAAATATATGACGCATGTGTTCCAATACCGCGGTCCAAACATTTTATTAACAAAGTTCTGGAATCAGCTAAACGTTTTGTCCAGTTGGCCTTCCCTGTGGACCACAACAGGGCCTTTGAAATATTACAATACAATATATATTTTATATGAATACGATAAAATGAATAGGATTGCGTTTTTTGATTTCGGTGACGTATTTTAGTACAGAGCTAACATGTGCATGGTTAATTTTAGGTTTGAGTGACATTTGTGACAGGTGTCTTGCAAGAACTTTTATTCAATAGATATAGATAATTTAAAAAGTGCTAAGAACTGAATAATAATAACGAATCTGATTACTGAACTAGAGGTCGTGGGTTCTTGTTTATATATTATATTTAGTTTAAATATTTATATATTACAAGTAAGCACTACCTTTCATCCGCGTGGTAGTCGACATCAAACAAGGTAGGGGATACAATAAATCAAGATTATAGGGATATGTATAAAAGAAAATACAAACTAAAGAGTATTTACTGTAAGTTTGAAAACGCTAAGTACTACCAAAAAAATAACGAAGTTTCATATAAGTTTCCAATCCAAATTTTGCAATCTTAGGGGTGGAATTAAAAAAAAACCTTGCTTAGTGCACACCTACGTCATCTTTTTATTTTATTTTCCTGTGCGGAAAACCCATCGGTGGGGTAATTATGTCGGACTCGAACCGACCTAAAACCGCACGTCGTCTCGGGTACCAGTAGCCGGGGAACAAGTCTACCCTAGAAAGGAAATCCCTGGTACCCCAACACAAATGTTATAAATGTTCCTTTGTACCAAATTTCATACTTCTAGACCCAGCGGTCAGTTCTGCTTTGGTGGATCAGTCAGTGAATCAGTCTATCAATTTCCACTTTTATAGTTATAGATTTAAAAATTATGCACTACATAACTTAAAGTAACTAGTATTAGAGTTATTGTAGTCGTCATAATCTGGACGTTAATTCGCCTGTGTTTACTCTTCAAGGATGAAGACGTGAGATGTATGTATTTTTTTTTAAAAACAGGTATAAGCAAAACAACTATTGTTGGAGACTCCTTTTAAGCATGTAAGAGGCTTGTGCCAGGAGTCTCCGCTCCTACGTTAATGCTAAAGTATACCTATGAATGAATTTCTTGTTACAAACATACAAAATAGTACACATACCAAACACATTCCTTTATATATAAATATAAATATACATATACATACATATATATATGTATATATGCATACGTATGTTGAGCTTGAGACAGTATTATGTATATACTTAATACATGTAAAGTTATAAAGTAGGTTAAAGTATCTATTTATGGTGGTTATTCAGGTGATATTTATTTTTAGTATCTATAATTAACATTAACCTTTCAATGTTCTATTCTTGTAATACTGCGGTTTAGCTTGAGATAAAATAGAGATCACTAGACTTCGAAGGATCCCTTTCTTTTCTTTTTTTGTTGACGGGGTGGAAAATCCCTTCAGATCTCCGGCTCTTTGGGGATGTAGGAGCCAGGAGTATGTGGTGTTTCCACTAAAAACCATCCCGACGGCCGGACTCAGGCGCCCTACTCCGAGGAGGACCCGGACCAGGTTATTTCAGGTAGCCCAGTAAAGCCCTATCCCGGGGAAACTGCGGGCTTCCCCCGCCTATCAGTCCAATCCTTATGATATGTTGCGGCCCGATCGTATTTTTCGACCAGGCCACCTTCGTATCGCCTACCGCAGCAGTTAATCTGCCACGAGAGGTCCCTCTGGCAGCCTGCGACCCTCTACGCTCGGGATCGGCCCTCACCCGATCCCGTTCAAGACTTCGAAGGATCCTGGAGTTTCCTTCTACCTTCTTAAATATGTACTTACTAAAATCTATAACATTATGTTGTAGTTTTTATATAATTTTTAAGTTTATAGAAAATATTGTTGTTAGATTTTAGTTTTCTGCACTCCATATAAACATAAACGATAGTGCAGTGGTAGCGTATATGACTGCTGTGCTTAGGTCTTGGGTTCAATTCCCGGGTGGGACCAAATGTTTGTTTGATCTGCAAATATTTGTTTCGGCGTTTAGGTGTTTTCTATGTATAATATTAGACGGAGAGCTGGCGACGAATTTTAGGAAGGTTCTTTTAGCAAGTTGAAATTGTAGAAAAATATAATTTATTGGTAAATGCAATCCCGAGAGTCTGAGATAGTGTATATAGTTTGTGTTATATATTTTGCGGTTATTTCGTTACTCGTTACATTTCCTAACCTACGTTTCTTTATTATGATATATTTATTAATGCTTATTTAAAGTGATTTATTTGTTTAATGTAACCTTAACATAATCGAATGAGATAACAATGACATGATCATAGAAATCGTAATAATAAACGATTCCTGTGGACACGATAGTAAGATATGCAAATACCTACTAGATGAGTGTAAATACTTATATGTTGTGGCATATAGACGAATATAGGACCTTAGTTGGACTCGGAAGGTCCCGAACGTAGAATTTCTGCGACGCCTCCTCCATAATGGCAACTTTATGTGACCATCAAGAAAAAAAAAAGTTGTATATCTCCGACACGTGCTTAGGTACGAACGATATAAATTTCACAGCTAATTATAATAGTAAAAGTTACTGGTTTATTTTACTGTCATTAAAAAAAGATGTGGCTACGCAACATCCAAGAAAAGACGGAAGTCGCGAGTGTTGGCGGTCTCTTTAACCTCGGGAAGCGAAGAAGAAGTATACAGATGAGGCTGTCAACCATAATTAGTCGGAGAGGCATTCGAAGGCATTATGCTCTTTTAACCATAAATCTACGGTATAGGCGATATACGGCAGCGGCGATGTAACTGCTATTTGATCATTGATTTTACTATAAGCTTTGTATATTGACTACACGTTAATTGTCATAGAAATACATTTACGTGTATTGTGGTAATATGGTTTATTTTTGTTTAGTGTACAGCGAAATTAGAGCTAGGCATACCTAGCTCTGATTTCTCTAGTTAAACATATTTAACTAGAAAAAAAGGCTGAAAATTGACTGCACGGATGGTGTAGTGGTTTAAGCGGGTAGCGACGTAGTGGGTTCGATCCCTGCATGGAACACTGTGTGATCCACAAATTGTTGTTCTGAGTCTGGATGTTCTTTGTGTCCGTTTCATGTATGTTAGTAAAGTCCCCCGCGACACAGGAATATATTCCTAATGCGGGAATTGTATGTATTTAGATAACAGAGGACCAAAAACAATTCTTTATCTAACAGAGTAACAAAGAATATGTAAATATACTCACAAACACATCATGCATGTTTATTAATTGATTAATTTTATTGATTGTTCGAATACAACACATTTCACAATAAGTACACATAATGTAATCTTTAGACTTCGGTATTTGTAAAGGTGGGTTAAAACAGGCTTACTTACAAGAGTGCCAAAGTACCTGAGGCGGCTAGTGGCAGACTATTTAGAGGAGCGTACCGTCGTGTACGAGGACCGAGAAGGTAATTTGAGGAGTCGGCCCATGTCGTGCGGTGTTCCACAGGGGTCTGTTCTTGGACCCCTCTTGTGGAACATAGGGTACGACTGGGCCCTTCGCGCCGATTTCCCCCCCGGCTGGGTGTAATCTGTTACGCAGACGATACCTTGGTGACAGCCCGGGGGGCAAACTTCCAAGAGGCGGCGCGCCTGGCCACAGGGGGAGTCTCCCTGGTGGTCGGGCGCATTGAGGCGCTGGGCTTACGGGTGGCCCTGGATAAGACGGAGGCCCTGTTATTTCATGGGCCCCGTCGTGGTCCACCCCCTGGCGCCTCAATCGTGGTCAACTCGGTCCTCGTACCGGTTCGGGCCCAGATGAAATATCTGGGCCTGATCCTCGACGGGAGGTGGCTCTTCGACGAGCACTTCCGACAGCTTGCTCCAAAGCTGGTCGGCGCTGCGTCTGCCCTAGGGCGACTTTTGCCCAATATGGGTGGACCCAGCGTCGCGACAAGACGGCTGTACACGGGGGTTGTCCGGTCAATGGCACTGTACGGTGCACCGGTGTGGGCGGCGGCTCTGACCGCCCAGAATAGGGTACGCCTCTGGCGCCCTCAGAGGGTAATGGCGGTCAGAGCCATACGCGGTTACCGCACCGTTTCGACGGAGGTGGCATGCGCGTTGGCCGGAACTCCCCCGTGGGATTTGGAGGCGGAAGTGCTCGCCGAAGTTTATCGGCGAGTGGCTGACTCCCGGGCGGAGAGCGGATTTCGCCCTCCGCCCGAGGATGTGCGCGAGTGGCGCGAAGCCGCTCGCCGAGCCACGATGGCTCGTTGGTCGTTCCGGCTGGAGACTCCACGCGCTGGCTTCGCCGCCGTGGAGGCTCTCCAGCCGGTCATCGCCGAGTGGGCAGGGCGGCAGCACGGGACCCTTTCCTTCCGGCTGACGCAGGTGCTTTCCGGGCATGGTTGCTACGGAAAGTACCTGCACTCGGTCGCTAGGAGGGAACTGAGTCCCGCCTGCCACCACTGCGACTGCAGTGAGGACTCGGCCCAGCACACGCTGGCGGTCTGCCCCGCATGGGCGGCGCAGCGCCGGGCCCTCACTGCAGTCATCGGAGTGGATCTCTCGCTACCGGCCGTAGTACGCTCCATGGCCGGTAGCGACAGTTGTTTTACCGCGGTCGCAACCTTCTGCGAGGTAGTAATCTCGCGGAAGGAGGCGGCGGAGAGGGCCCGGGAGGACGACCTCCACTCGGACCCGATCCGCCGCCGGCGAACCGGGCGGCGGAGGCCCGCCTATCACAGCCTCATGCCGCCCCTGAGTGTGGCCGCGGGTGGACGGGGTGGGTTTCCCCTCCACCCGCATTAGTTTGGCCAGCCGCGAGGGGCGGCGTCCGCGTGTGCCGGACGTCGCCTAAAGAGAGGAAAAACATAAAAACATTGAGACGGAGCCCGCACCAGGAGCGGGCTGGCGCTAGGAGGGGTCCGGATGTCTTAACAACAGCTGTTCACGGATCCCTCCTGTTACAGGCGCAGAGTGGCACACCGTGTGGTTTTAGTCGGTCCGAGTCCGACACACCACCCCGCCGCAAACCCCGGAGGGGTGACGGTCCGAGGGGATTTCCACACGTTAAAAAAAAAAAAAAGGCTTACTTACAAGAAAACTCAGATTAATATGTATAATGAAACTTAATAAGTTAATAATAGTTGCTGGGCTGATATCGATTATCTTTTTGTATACTTTATACCAATTTATACCAAGGTGACAATTTTTGTGGTGGCGCATCCGAAATCTGTAAAATTTCTCTATTTAACCGCATCTAAAATTGAATATCTGTAACATCCCTACCGTTTAATACAGAATGTTATTACTATTTTAGAATACCGAATGCATTAACAACTCCATTTTAAAGCACAAGATTTAACGACGCTGTTTAAAAACAGATACACGACACAACTATTTGTGAAGTTCTACTGTTCTTATAGGAGTATGTACAAGTGTATCGTGAGAGAGCTATCACATCAACAGCCTATACTAGTCCACTGCTGGACATAGGCCTCTCCTTAGAAAGTAGGTTTTGGCCTACTATACCACGCTGGCCAGACGGATTGGTATAGGGTTTGTTTCAAGTTTTCCTTCTCTTTGCAGTGCTGTTGTCCTGCTTAGTTTGCTCCCTTAGTCGGCTCTTACGACACCCACGGGATGAATTGGGGTGGTGACAATTTGTATTCTTAATCCGTCACCACACGGACTAGAGAGCTATGTTTTGGCAGAAATCGGCCGGCTCGATCGATTGAACCCACGGCCCCACAGAAAACCGATGTTAAGCATATCTTTTGTTGCTTATCAGCGATTGAGTGAGGTTACCAAAAGCCTGACCCCCCTCCTTAATTTTAGGAGGGAGTGTACGCCAAGGACGGCTAGGCACTCCACAGTTGCTGATTTACATGTGTGGCGGTAGTCGCCTGCTCACAAGTGACCCATCTGCTCGTTAGTGTTTCTATTCCCTAAAAGGAAATGTTTATCTTCGGTTTGTTTATCAGGTATGGTGTTGTGTTACAGCGCAGTGCAATGGCGGTGCGGTGATGGCGGATGGCGGCGCGGGCGCGGTGTGTGACGCGGGCGAGCCGGCGGGCGGCGCGGGCGACGCGCTCGCAGAAGCGGAGGCGGGGGCGGGAGAGTCTGCCGCAAGAGGCGCTGCTCTCGAGCGGGCGTATGTCCATGACGTGTACGAACAAGCCGGTGATGATGGGGACGAAGGCTCGAGAGCGCCCGCGCCAGGCGTGCGAGCTTTCTTGTCTGAACTCGAACCAGGCAGTCTCGTTTGTGATGTCGGTGAGTGGATACTCTCTTTATATTCCTTTGTCAAACAGAACAGTTTGATATACATTGCTTACTGTTTCGTCCGCGATAATTAAGTTCGCTGTAGTATTCCAAATCCAAGTATCCCATGCAAGACTAAGTATCATATCAATGTACAGACTAATACTTAACCTGATTCGTCCAAAATGGAGTAAATTCAAGTATTTGCCAGTGGTCAAAGTTTACACGTATAAAATTTTAAATATTTTCACTTCATTTCATTGAACTATTTATAACAAAAATTTTGCTAATATGTATTTTTAACCGACTTCCAAAAAGGTGGAGGTTCTCAATTCGTCGGAATCTTCTTTTTTATGTATGTTTACCGATTACTCGAAGACGCCTAAACCGATTTGGGGACTTTCCAGGGGATTCCATTTAAATTTTATTGAAATCGGTCAAGCGGTTTCTGAAAAATCAACAAAAATCTTAAAATTGTATACATCGATAATATTTTTGTTTACTTACGAAACCTTGCTGTCTCACTGGAGCAGGGTTTAGTTGGTCTTATTTAGTATTGTTTAAAGTCGGTTCAATTTTTTTTACAAAGGATTTTAACTGTCATTGTAAAGAAATTTCATTAATAGTTTTGTGTCTGTATTTACATTATTTTTAACCTTCCCTTTTTCTGACCTTAATCTACATATTTATGAGTAAAAAAATTAAATTGTTTTGTGTACTCGTCAAACACTCAAATAGTGTTGTACCGGTGGAGACTAATTTTTGAAACGATATAACAAACCGCTTCACAGATTTTTATCTGTTTTTCGTGTCAGTTCCTCATTCTCATCAAAGCGACCACAATGTGCAGAATGTGCTAGAGCGAGGCTAGCCTCGCTCTAGCGAGTAGTTTATTTATAACTACGAGTAGCTGTACCTTGCCTAGGGTACAGCTACTCGTAGTTATAAATAAACTACTTCAAATTTGACACCTCTATGCGCGAAATTTACTTATAGAAATTTACTTTAAGTGGAAGGATATCACTTATTAATAAATAATAGAGAAGAATGTATGTTACCTATCTCACTCCAACCTTGTGCGATATTGGTAGGTGTAAAACGTGGGAATTTTGACCTTTACAACTAATTTTGTGTTCATTAAATCCCAACCAAACGGTATGAAAATTGAAACAGTAACAGATCGAAGCGTTTATTTATGGCAAGTCCACCTTCTCACTACCGCACGAGCAGACAAATCAATAGATAGATATTACGCATTAGGTAATATTTACTAAGACACCTACACAATAGCATTTATCAAGCGTATTATAAAGGAACAGGAGTTCACCTTGCTTTTTATACCACCTACCGGTGGTTATATTGGACTCGAACCGACCATAAACCGCACTCCGTCTAGAGTACCAGTAGCCGGGAAACCAGGTGTACCCTAGGAAGGAAATCCCTGGTCCCCGACGGACCCCGGGCCATCCCGGGACCCCCTCGTATGTGGGAATCACAGTGTACTCGTTCTGCAATCTAAAGGGTGCGCACGCTCCACAGCGAGTCGCACCGCCAACCCGGCCTGCTTCTGCTAGGGTGACAGATGACCTCACCTTTCACCGTCAGGCTTGCTTCTGGAGGACAGAGGTCCTTCTGCGACCTCCGGCTTCTGAGTCGTCTGCGTTACCTGGCTCGTCCCCGGGCCTGCCAAAACGGGAGAGTTCTAAATCTCTCGCGGTTCCACTCCGCCGTCTCCTTCGCAAGCATAAATTGCTCATAGAACGGAGGAGTCCCACGCGCTCGCGCTCCGTACAACGGCCGCAATCATGGTACCAAGCGAGAGCACTCTCACTCCGATGGCCGCCACGAGCTCACGCCTCTGCTCATCCCACGCCAGGCATTCTGCCAGAGTGAAGTGCGCCGTGTCCATGGCCCGGCCACCAACAGGAGCTCACCTTACCCAAACACGAATACAATTGTAATCATCTGATGATACCCGCCATTCAGATCTGAGAGATTATAAAAGTGCCATACCTTTCACTTGACTTACTTTTCCATGCCCTACCATGCCATACTTTTTAATCGCTCGTAGTATAAGTGAGTTAAAAGAAACAATTAAAAAACTTTCTAGCCCTTTTCGGACTGTACTGTGGTTTTAGCGGTCACCTCACCGCCTCCATCCGCGATGAGTGTTGTGGGTTCGATCCCCTCATGGGACAACACTTTGTGTAATCGACAATTAGTTTTTCCGAATCTGGATGTTCTCTGCTGCGATCAACAATTCAACCTTGTCTTGGTTCTCTATGTTCGTTTCAAAAATGTTTGTAAAGTCCCCCGCGACACATAATATATTCCTAGTGCGGGAGTTGTCTTTTTCTAAATTTAACTATTGTTTAAATCTGTATATATAGATACAAATATATCTGAAGTTCAGTGGAATGCACTTTAGGGACACTTACATATATAGCACATATACATTTAATATGTTTTATTATAGGCTGCGGCAATGGAAAGTACCTGAGCGTGAATCCGTCCGTGTATACAGTGGGGGGCGATCGTTGCACGAGGCTCGCGGCGCAGGCCAGACATCACAACAATGAGGTCAGTTAACTTATATTTTAGTGGTTAAAGTATGAAATTTTTTTCTAAGATGTACATATTTATTTAATCAAAATATTTGCCCTCATTATCTACACATTGCTGCCATCTAAACAAATGTTAATTTATGCCTTAATGATAGAACTCTGGGGATCTCATCACCAGCCTATCGCAGGCCGCTTAGATCGCTTTTGGGATTCTCGCATCCAACTCCTGCCATCTTGCGCAAACCTTCCACTTAGCCTGTGGGCGTCCTACACTACGTTTGCGAGATACGCTTGCGTTTGCTACGTTATCGGTTCCGCGGCTAATATGGCTAGCCCACTGCCACTTCAGTTGCTAATCGGGTAGGCTATGTCGGTGACCTTGGATCTCTTTCGGATCACCTCATTCCTAATGCAATCCCTTAGAGAAACGCTGAGCATAGCCCTTTCTGTAGCACGTTGAGGCACCGGTTCCGCTTGGGGTAGACCGACGCTGCTGCCCGTCACCGGCCTGTTGTATTTAGCTAGTGGTATGGATATACCGCCATCGGTCGGTCGCCAGAACCTCGTTCGTCGTTCAGCAGGATGCACCGCGAGCAGGTGAAGTTGCCTTGGGGATGAAAAGATGGTGGTTCGCCCCCTCATACCCCTGGGGATCTAGATTAGACAAACTGTGTGAAAGTATTTTGAACTGTCTCATAGGTAGATTTTTTTATTCTTTACCTTTTTATTGGTAAGCTTGGCTTTAGGGCACTGTAGCGGCATTTGACCTGGGGTCAGCCATTGCGTTTTTCGCTTACGGTTATCGCAAACAATCCACTTTTCGTCACATGTCACAATTCAATCCAATATTCCTTTATTTATGTACCGATTCAACAAGGCAACACAAGTTTCAACACGAATTCCTTTCTACAGATCAGTCAAATCATGAGGCACCCATTTTTTTTTAACGATATATGTACAACAGTATAGGGTTTGTGTCAAGTTTTCCTTCTCTTTGCAGTGCTGTTGTGCTGCGTTTGCTCCCTTAGTCGGCTCTTGCAACACCATCGGGATGAATTGGGGTAGTGACATTCCTTATTCTTAATCCGTCACTACCGTCCGTAAAAATTTTACAATCAATTTCAATCAAAAGCATTTTTATCCTGAACATAATCCACTACTATTCTTAAGGTCTAAGTGTCCTAGTATTGTGAACTCAAACTAGTTTTGGGTTTTTTTTTTAAGTACATCAAAGAAATATTTATTTCATTGTTACCTAAAAGTTAATTTCTCCCCTAAAGCAGGTGGTCGTTTGCGACAATTTGTGCCTGCCCTTTCGAGATGAGTCATTCGATGCGGTACTGTCTATCGCGGTGGTGCACCACTTCGCGACAGTGGAGCGGCGCGCCATGGCACTCCGAGAGCTGGCCCGAGTCACGAGGATCGGTGGCCGGCTCCTCCTTACTGTGTGGGCCATGGAACACGAGGGACGGAACTTTCATTCACAAGTGAGTTCTTGAGTATCGAATATGGACTACAGAATTTAAAAAGAATAATAGCAACGTTAGTCACACAATACTAGTAACTACTATTTTTAACCCCTACGGCTTGTATAGGAGGGATACTGCGTGGATAACACTAAATAGTTATACTTGAGAGCAAGTTTGACGTTGTTAGAATATTCAGATTTAAAAAACACTTGCCTTAGATCTGGTTGCTCCAAGAAAACAATTGTTTAAAGGCTTGTGAACGAACCTAGACAATATTTATTAGAAGGAAGTTCCTAGAGTAACAAGTATTTTATAATATAAATTATAATGGTTCTATAGTAAACGTCTACCAAAAAGCGAAAGGAACTTCGTTCCGATCGGGAGTCTATAGACCCCCCACGCCTTATTATTTATTTATTTTTTTATAGCTTTCGCCGGCGACTCCGCCCGCGTTTATGGCGGTTATCGCGGTAAAAAGTAGCCTATGGTACTCGGTGATAATGTAGCTTTCCATTGGTGAGAGAATTTTTAAAATCGGTGTAGTGGTTTAGTCGTGAAAGCGTAGCAAACAAATAAACTCACTTTCACATTTAAAATATAAGTATGGATTATTATACGCTACATGAACAGATTCAGGCCACTGCTGCATTGGCTTGACTCAACAACAGTGTTGTAACATCACTACTTTAGTAAGTAGTAGTATGTCGCATCACTGAGTCACGTAGCAAGATGTACACTCTAGCGCAGCCATTGCTTGATTGTCCGCGACACTGTGTAGACTTAAATCCAGTGCTCTGATTATATGACGATATAATATTCAAAGTCGTTCTTATTTACTAAGTCCTTAAGCAATACATGAGAACACAATTAACAGCATCGTGTGTTGTTGTATGTTGTGTGACATGGGACAATCGAGTATATTGTGATAAGTTTTCTAAATCTTAAACTTTAATAAAATAACTTTAACATAGTGATGAAATATTTCAGGATGTATTGATCCCGTGGCATCGACCTGCCACCTTGTGTCCGCCTACACCTGCGCCGAGATTCCTGTCTGTGGACCACGACCAGTATGTATTGTATTATGTTATGTAGGAACAATCAATCAATTATAATGTTATGTATTAACAAATATGACTGCACGGATGGCGTAGTGGTTTAAGCGGTCACCTCGCCGCTTCTTACTACGCTTACTGTTGTGAGTTAGATCCCCACATAGGATAACACTTTGTGTGATCCACAAATTGTTGTTCTGAGTCTGGGTGTTCTTTGTGTCTGTTTCATGTATGTTTGTAAAATCCTTCGCTATACCGGATATATTCCTAGTGCGAGAATTGATTTTAAAATAAAAATAAAAAATCACAAAGTTGTACAATTTATGTTTTTGTTTCAAAATTATTTTAGGTATATTTTTTGTGACTGCGATGGCATAAAATTGGAGTTTTAGAATATATTTCTTTTCTTGCAGTAATCCTGACCATTGGAAAAGTCGTGACGGTTCCCCAGGATCATCATCTTTATCATCACCGAACGAAACTTGCTACTCATTCGTAAGAAGAGCTTTACAGCGGTTAGCAGGTAGAAGGTCATTCCTCCCATCATGGAGCATAGGAGCGAGAGTACCACAGCGACCTTGCATACGACCTGAGCCAGCAGCGGCTGACCTTCCTATAGAACTAAGACGCCTAGACGAAGCCCTCCCACCAAGATTAATAACGCAGACTTCAGACGCTTCAACGATAAAATCAAGAAGTTTAACTGATATTGCTGATATAGAAAGACGTACTCTTGTTCGCTCTCGATCTAGCTTGCCTAGTCTAGGTGGCGAAGAATCTGAGCCACCGACGTCAGAAACTCCTGCTCCTGAAGTTGTTGAACCAAGAAAGAAACCTCGACTTGTGAAGCAAAAGAAATCAATAAATGAGGATGATGCCGAGGAGGATCGTGACAAACCGACTGATATGAAAAGTCTAGTGGAAGAAATGCCCAATTTCAAAATTCATACACATAACAGATTACAGTCCAAAAAGCCTGGCGTTTTTAAACAAACGTCATTTAACGAAGAATTGATGTCTGTTGAACGATTAAGGGAAAAGGAACGATTAAGAAAAAATATACAAAAACAAGCATCACTCAACGAAGAATATCTTTATCGTAGACCGGGAGCTCTAGATTCTATTCGTGATTCAATATTTCTAACATCGGCGACCACTGCCAAGAAGTTCCAATCATTAAAAAACGGCCTCACTAGTAAGTTCAAGACCTCTACAACGAATATAGACAAAGTAACTGTGTTCGTGAGAATGCTCCAAGGCTGGAAAAGTCACGGACCGGCACCTGAAGTTCCTACGCCAAGTGATAATAATACTGGCAGCGAAAAAAGTTATCCTGAAAGACGACACTCAAAGGAAGATGGATCTGATTCATCAAAAGACAGCAGCCTTCAAAGTGATACGAGTGTTGATTCTGAAGACAGTTTTGCATCTGTTATATATGTTCCTAAAGCAGATGGTTCTGGTGATCCACTGTCACCTACACCTTTATCTCCTGGCCCTACTTCACCAAGATTAAAAGTATCTTCTGTACCAACTTCGCCTAGAATGAAAAGTTCACCTGGATTACCGTCACCGAGAATCAAACAAGCATTTCCACTTATTCGACCACCGTCGTCTCCTGGTGCCGTTCAAACTCCAGGCTCAGTGAATAAAATATTAGTAGCTCAGTACAGTTTAAAAAATTATTCAACGACTACGTCTGTGGCTTCAGTAAAACCTCAGTCAAAAAGCCAACCTAATTCTCCACCTAAATCAGAATCAGACGAAACTCTTACCAGGCCTGAGCCTCTACCAATCATAAACAACAATGTTTCGATTGATGTTTTTGAAGAAGTAGATCCAATTCCACCTATCAAAGAGGAGGAAGAGACTCCAACAGAAGTAACAAAAGAGTTAATTGCAGAAATAAATAAAGATATAGAAGAAATACACAAACTTACGGCGGAAACTAATCAATTAAAACCTCGTGTATTGCAAGACGTTAAACCTTATCCAAAAATAACATTACAGACTGTCGCTGAATTACCGGAAATACCGCTGTATAAACCTAAAGAGCCCATCAAGCCATCTACGGTGGACACATTAGATTCCAGAACTGCGGATAGAAAACGTAAAGAAAGGATTCGACAAATAAAAGAGCTGCTCAATAAAGGTATTCCAAGTGTAAATATAAGTAGAAGACCACCATTTCCAATTGTGCGGGGGACGAGGAATACAGAACCAATTGCTAAAAGCAAGCCTACTCTTATGTCTCTAGAACTATTCAATCCCGCAACAGACGACATGGACAGCGATTCAAGTGGTGTATCTTCGCCAGATTCAGTAGACAGCGTCATAAGCGTCGTTCCAGAAGAGCTGCGCAAAATAGCTTTAGAGAAAGGTATGAACAACAGCCAATTAGTTTTATTTTATACAAATCAATTTATGTATATTTAAATGTTTATTTGTTGTTTGTATTTCAGACTCATCAAACTCTTCTAATTCAGAATCAAAAAAGGAAGAACTTAGTGCAGATAAAATTCCCTTGATTTCTACGGGTCCAACAAGTCTTATTGAAGCTGTAGCTGAAGTTGCACACTCTCTAGATGAAACCTGTGAGACTGTCATACAAAGCAGCCCGAGATCAAAACGAAGACACCTTGAAAAATTAGAAAGCGCAGAAGCCATGGCTATTGTGCAAGGTACGTCTAGTAGCAGTAGTAGCAGTAACTGGAGTCTCAATAAACTATCACCGGGAGATTTAAGAATATTAGAAGACAGATCCAGATCCCAGTCTCACACTAGCTCCAGTGGAAGCTCCTCAAGCCTAGAGCGCCTTTCACCAGGAAGAAGGTCTAAGGAACGATCACCAAAACTAGGCAGCACGAGCAACTCTACATGGAGTCTAAATAGGTTATCCCCTAATAGACCCGAAGGACGTTCCCTAGATGAAAACCTAAGTAAAAGTCACAGGAGTCCTACCAGATTACCGTATGACTCAATTTCAATTTGTAGTACTGATTCAGAAAAATCTATTTCAAAATCAGAAAGCTTTAACAGAATACAAAATGAACCTCTTGTGACTTGCAAGTCAGACATAATACCTTCAGAAGAAGAGTGGCCTGAACAAGATCGTAGTCAGCATTTAACCGAATTTGCAGAAAAGTTAAGTGAAAAATTACTACAAGAAATAGATCAGTATTCAAAGAGAATCAACGAAGATGACTTTGACTTACCAAGTAGTAGCAGTAGTGAAAGAGTATATCTCCTGCGATTTAAAACGGGAGGAAGAGTGATAGAAACACCCAGAAAATTTTAGATGAACTCTCTGATAGTTTACAACATTTAGAAGATCCTTATATTCATAAATCAGCACAGAAATGCAAGGCCTTAACAAGTTAAGCGCTGAACTTCAAGAGAGAAATAAATACATCGCTTCCATGAATGACGTTCAAGAAAATGATATAAATAAACTGTTTCCTAAATGCGTTTCGAAATCGAAAAGTAAGAAAAGATCGAAGGATGTAGATCCAATTATTAATAAATACAGGGAACTGAAAAAGTCTATGAAAGTGACTAGCGAAGAGGATCTTTACCTTAATAATTGTGCCAATATCTACACAGCTAAACCAGTAGTAACTGACACAAAGTTACCAGACATAGAAACCAAAAATCCAGATGATGATAGTGCAATTTCATCAAGCAACGGGAACCCTGAAATCACTATAGACTCTGGCGCTTACGATACGAGTCAGTCACTGGAAACTGGATATTCTTTAGAGTCGGAAATTAGTGTAGATTCTCTTTGCACGAGCACAGATAAAAGATCTTCATTAAAAGTCGGTCAATCGACAGATTCGAGCGATTTGGATAAAATGGAAATAAGTCCTGAATCAATCACATCGCGTTCGAGCACCAGTACAGCTCCATTAAAATCTGGATTTCAATCGAATCCAGCGACACTTCAGCGGGTAGTGACTGGAGCAGGCGTGACAAAACTGGAAGCACAGCATCGCTCGGCTGCGCAAGTCTAGCTTCTCTACCATCATGTAGTGAATGCTCTAAAGATAGAAAGCTCTTTGAAACTCGGTCGTCATCGGAGGATACGGCTCCTGTTCAACCAGCGCCGGTGGCACGAGCTTTGCCACACGCGCCGCTGCTACCTTCTCTGAGTGATGGCTCTGACAGTCTACCTTCCGAAGGAGGGGCGGTTACGTACCATCGGTACTACCACGTCTTCAAGAGAGGAGAACTCGATCAGTTGATCGAGAAATACGTGGAGAGTTTACACGTCGTATCGTCATACTACGACCAGGCCAGCTGGTGTGTTATAGCTGAGAAAGTTCAAGTGTGGACCATATAATGAACTGATAGTGAATTGACACTTTCTAACGTTTAGGGTAAGGTTTCACTGCTGGTATATTTAGGGATGAGATTAAAATATTGCCGGTTAAATCACATTTTTATAATCTTATGAAATAGTGATGAATACGTACCTTAAAAATTAATCATTAGACACTCTATAAGTGCTGTGTTTACATCCAAGTGACCTTCCTAACGAACTCGGTAAGTGAGTGTTAAGGATATGTTCGTGAAGAACGGATCATGTTAATGGTGTTATTTAATTACCTTACGCGAAATTGCCAAAAGCAAAGCTTTTGTTTTTTAATAATTTACCTATTCTAGTCACTCTATAAAGGTTTACTAGTTGTTATATCTAATATAATCTTAACAATTTGCCTACCGCAGAACGCAGTTTGACCTGGGCTCATAGATGTATGATCGTGTGGCATTGTCTACTAAACACTTGACGTAGAAAGCGATTCTAAGTTCGCACATTTATGAGGCACTGTCATGGCTACATTCTGTTCAAAGGGCATTAGTATTCGATGCGATATAGAATTCGCATTAAATGAAAACTAAGAGCTTTAAATAGTGAAAATTAAAATATATTATATACTTCAGTGGCTCAATATGATATAAGCTATTCGTAGCTTATTTACTCTACAGTTCGTGTATACCTACAGAAAATTGTAATGTTATTCTCACATAATTATAAGTAATCAATTAAACCATATTCCAAGACCAAAATAATTAGGAGCAAAATATATTAACAGTGATTAATATAATCATTCTATGACAATAACAATAATTTAGCATTGATGTCATACAAATTACTTTTCTATATTTAAACTTGCCGTATTTTTTTTATCTGTGCTAATATTTCGGTTTTGGCATATGGTGTGACATTTCCTTTCAAGAAAGTCATGTAATCAGGTTTTAAAAAAATGTACCAGCCTCGTCTATGGAATCGTAAGAAGTTGTCAAATCAACTCCACCTATAAATATTTAGTATGGGTCCATGCTATCGTCGCTACCAATATAATGCGTTATGTGTAAATTCATACTAAATTTGGACCATTTAGTGAAGTTAGAGGTTTTAGTCGTGGTAGTGGCATAAAGAGAGACCCCCTTGCCTACTTGTGTAATACTTGAGAGTACAAATACATGCATAAACTAATTTCTTTAATACTCAGAGTATCTATGTAAGTGTATTTGTTATAGTTACGCCTTACGATGGCCACCACAGTCTACACCTGTTGCCACTTGTCATAGTATATTCAATTCACGGAAATATGTATATTTAGCATACGTTACGTCGTGGCTGTTACGAAAAATATTTATGATTTTAATTTATATTTGGGAGAATTTTTAGACATTTAATAGTAGCAATAACGAGAAGACACATAATAAAGAACATGTTATAGGACAAGAATATGTTATCATTAAAAAACTTAATGCAGTTTGAAAATATTTATTTGCTACTATTCTATGTTATGCCAGGCCACTCAGAAAATTTAGCGAAAGATTTATATCACTTTAGCTTCAAATAAAATCATTTACACTAAGAAAGGACTGAACTTGGAACTTCAAATGTTCCTCCACATGATGAACTATATAAATATAATTCAAGTAAAATTTCCAAGTAATGATATTTTACGGTTTTTAAATATGGTATAAAATCATAAGAACTTTTTCACAACCTTAGAATAAAGTAACCTAACTCAAAATCCCTGAAACTTCTAAATTTGCTTTATACATTATGGAATGCTTGACAGAAGTGTAGACTGACTGTCATCAGTAAACGAATGAATAAGACTAAGTGGTTCATGCGAGTTATTCTTCTGCCCTCTTAAATGGAATGTCAACAAAGATCTAGATTTCATCGCCGGAAAATGCACTACGTTAGTATGAATGTATAAATATAGGTGGAGAATTTTAAAACATTATTTAATATATTAATTATTGGATCAATGCAATATTTTTTTACTTTCGCAAAATTATCTGAATGTCCCACGAATGAATTGTTACTAAGAGTTAATGCAAACAATATTAGAATGATTGCAAACAAACAAAAATTTTGCACGTTGCCTCAATAAAAAATGAACTGGAGCTATAGCAGATAACGAACCTAAAAAACATTTGATTGAAAGTGTATATAATATATATAATTAATAACAAATACACCAACACTACATAAAAACAATCCACTTAGTGCAAATAGTGGGTCAAGGCTCAAAAATATTCAGTATAACAACGAAAGGATTTTAGTCTTGGACGCAATTGCGTCCACGTGATTATTCCATATTAAAATATTTTGAGACAGATTTAGAATAAATGTAAGTTATCTGCTTTTCCTCCATGTACCTACCGTTTTCCACTGTAAAATATTTGAAACAAAACATAGTTGCTGTCTGATAATATTTTTCCAGAGGAAGCATATGATTTAAATCTGGATTTCCTTCACCTAACGTATGCTAAGTATCCTTCTTGTTAATGTTACATAATCTTATTTCTAGAAAAGAAACTTCGTTTATCACCATTTCCTAAACTAATGTCCTTTAAATAAATATTGGTAACATTATTATAAGTGAAAATAACGAATTTTTAACTTTCATTTTTATTGACGTATTTGTTATAAGTACATAGATAAATTTATAAAATACTTTATTATATAGCGTGCTGTTATAGATCACAAAAATTCATTGCATTCACTAAATTGGGAAATAGCTATAACATACTCACTTGAACCTATGTTATTTTCGTTATTAGATTTGCTTACAGAATTGACGTTTAATATTTTTTTTATTTGTCTTTGTTATTGAAAGTTGATGCTTTGTTCCATAGACATTCGAATTTCAAATATAGGTAGTGTTCAAGTGCGGTTCAAGTTTTAAAATCAATGGAGTAAATTGCAAACCATAAACCACTGAAAATTGTACAAAAAACATAAAAAATTAATCCAAAGTTACGGCAAGATTGCTTACAAGTAATGTAAAGTTGGAAAGTATTCGGTTTGGTATTGTAAATAATCGCTATAAGTATATAAAGCTATTAGAGTTTAATTATGTTATCAAAATCAGTGAGATTAAAATTAATATTATAGTATACATAGTAACTTTAAATCATTGAACACGGCTGAATATTCAATATTTTCCTTAATAATAAGATGAATCTCAAAGGATTTTTTTAAGGAAAATATTTAATGTACAGAAAGTGCGTGATTCTCGCATTGTCAATAGGAAATTATGCAAATAGTTTATTACTACTGAACAGTAGCAGTTAGGAATTATATACCTATATATAAATGCACAACCATTATTTAATTAATTTAATATCTGTATGTAAGTCTTCATAAGTCAATGACTGTCGACATTGTGGACAGCAAGTTCAATTCATTGAACTGTTATTTATGTACACAATGAATTTAAATGATGGCTGTATATATTAAAATTATCGAATAAAAAACTGCCCAACATTGGGGTAAATTCTACCCTTACATCATTGAAAAATGTACAGTATCGATATCTGTGATTTTTACGCAAACAGTTGTGTACCTAAATATATCAATAGCACTGAGTTGAAAACTCTAAAAAATATATAAATACCACTCACATTCACTAAATTGTAGTTGCTTCCAAACAATATTTAAGCACATTCCACCTAAGTATTCGAATAATAAAAGTTTTCTTACGTAAAGTAAATAATTTCGAACTTTTATGTAAGTCCAAAGGAAATTAATTGATTTTATTGGAAGTTGTGAAGTTTTAAAGCATATCAGTGTCCTTTAGTTATGTAAGAAATGTATAAGTTGTCCTATTTTTTGTAAAATCGCTTGAGAATATTCTTTAATTTTTCTTGCAGGGTGTCTCTGTCACAAATTTGATTTACACTATATTTTACTGCCGTTGCACGTAGAAAGAGTAAAATAGATTATTATGTAGAAACTTTATTCTCCATGTGACCAAAACTGACACCGAATAAATAGGTTAATATTTTTTATTTGCAAAAAAATAATTTAGTTTTTTAAATTTGAAGCAAGTAGTTTATAATTCCGCGTTATTCGATAATGTATGTGTAATAGTTGTGTATTATTCATTTCTATTCCGAATTTTAATTTTGTGTACATATACATATTCATATAAAGTGTATTTCATATTGGCTTAATCTGTGATATAAAATAGAAAAAAAAATTGGCACAAACCCGCGTTCTTTTAAAAATTGTATAAAACACGATTAAACATACATGTAATTATTTAAAAAAAAATGTTTTGCTCTTTAAAATTAAAAAAGAAGAATTATTTGACGGTTATTTGTGATATTAATTTTATGACCGCTTGATATTTCGTAGAAAAAAAAAGTAACTGATCTTCGTCATATGCGAAAGGATGAAAATATTTAAAATAAAATTAACAACGCATATGTTAGGTAAATATTCAGAGTATAATATGAATAGCACATAGAACAGTTCTCAGTGATTTATAGATTGTTTTCTATCATATCCTCGCTAAATTATGGAGCACTCGTAAAATATTAAGTACCAATAGATTAAAGGTCATGCTGATTACTTCATATTGACCATCAAAATTTGCTGGAGTTTGGAAATGAACGAATCGGTATCCTTGCTCGCATTTAGTTCGATTATCATTGGGTACTTTATTGTACAGTATAGAAAATTTTATAAATTTACTAG